ATGGTCAGTCTGTCTGGCAAAATCGGAACTACGCCAAGCCTGGTACCGTGGCGGTTAGAAGCCCCATCTATGAAAAGTTTCTACATTTCGCCCACAAAGGGCTTCCAACATTCTGAGGGGTCCTGGGAGGCTTGCAGGTGGATGGGCGCATGGTCGCTCGGCTGTGCGGCATCAAGTTTAATGCTGATCGGTTCCACTTCCTCCCCTTCTGGCGATGCGGCGCCGGACAGAGCAGGTTGGTCGGTAATACCCAACTCCGTCGTCGCATCGCTGGTTTGTAGTGTCGTACTAGCTGAAGGTTCTTCAGCGGGGCGCGCAAGTTCCGCGTTGCCAACATCGCCTTGCTGTGTTACTTCGGTTAAATCTGTGCTCACCTCCTCGGCTGCCACCGCAAGATCCACTAGGCAGACGAGATGAATCCTGGGTGAGAATTTAGCAATGAAATCGGCCAATGTCTGGGCCTTTATGGTAGTGCGTGGCTGGAACTTGACGTCAAACTGTCCTAATTCGACCGCCCACTTGAGAATTCGACCGGAGAAGTCCCTCCGCTCGAACAAAGCTTTGAGGGGGAACTCGGTCAAAACAATGATTGTATGAGCATGGAAATAGTGCGCCAACTTCCTGGAGGCCATTATCAATGCCAACGCCAGTTTTTCCAGTGGCAAGTATCTCGACTCTACCGGTAACAAGGTTTTACTTACGTAGAAGATAGGGAGGTGCTTGATTCCTTCTGACCGGATAAGCACAACACTAACTGCATGCTGAGAAACAACCAGATAAAGGTAAAGTTCCTCGCCGGGCTTCAGTGTTACCAACAGTGGTGCTGAAGACAGATACTCCTTGAGCTCGGCCAAAGCCTGGTCACATTCTGCATCCCATGAGAACTTTGATTTCAAAGCTTGAAAGAAAGGGTGGTAGCGATCTGATGACCGACTTATGAATCAGTTAAGCGCGGTGGGCATTCCGGCCAGATGCTGCACGTCCTTAGCCGAGTTTGGCTGCTTTAACTCTTGTACGGCTCTGATTTGCGTGGGGTCTGCCTCGATGCCTCGGTTCGTGACTAGGAAGCCTAAGAATTTGTCGGATCCCACGCCAAAAGCACACTTAGACACATTCAGGCGTAGCTTGTGTCATTTGAGAATGGCGAACATCTCGGCCAAGTCGGACAAGTGGTCTGCTTGATGTCGGCTTTTGACCACCATATCATCAATATAAGCCTCCAGTGTTCGGCTTAGCAGAGGAGCGAACATCTTGGTCACCATCCTTTGGAAAGTTGCCCTGGCGTTCTTCAAACCAAAAGACATAACTCAGTAGCAGAAGAGTCCCCTTGGAGTAGTGAAAGAAGTGATCTCATGGTCGGGGCCATGCATGGCAATCTGATGATAGCCGCAGTAGGCGTCCAAGAAACTGAGCCTGTTATGTCCGGCCGTTAGATCCACCAACTGGTCTATTCTGGGCAAGGAAAAGCTGTCATTAGGGCATGCTCGATTGACGGTCTTGTTGCCGACGCAGACTCGCCACTTCCCATTCTTCTTGGGCACTACGACTGTGTTTGAGATCCACCGAAGGTAGTGCACTTCTTGAATAGCCACAACTTCAAGCAAGATCTTTACCTCATCTGCGACTACCTCAGCGTGGTGCAGCGCCGATCTCCTAGTTCTTTGAATGACCGGCCTTGCACCGGGGAAGACATTGAGATGATGACAAATAAAGCTCGGATCGATGCCGGGCATGTCGTAAGGCGACCATGCAAAGACTTCGATATTTGCCATCAAGAATTCCACCATCTCGGTCCTCTCTTGGGTAGTAAGGCTTGAGCCGAGCAAGAAAAACTTGCTCGGGTTTTCGGTGTCAATCCGTACTTCTACCAACTCCTCAACAGCTTTGTCCTCAGCCTTGTTGCTCACATCTTCAAGAACTCCATGGTCTTTTGGTCCTTCAATCATTTGGATGCAACCTTTGGCAGCTCGGCTTCCGTTTACCGCCACAAAGTATTGTTTCGACATGACTTGATCGCCCCAAACTTCCTCAATTTTCCCCATAGCCGAGGGAAATCTCATGACCTGGTGGTAGGTCGACACTACTACCTGCATAGCGTGCAGCCATCTCCTTCCAAGGATCAAGTTATATGTAAACGGCACTTGCAATACCCAGAACTCCACTTGCTTGACTACGGATCCCGCTTTGACCGACAGAATAATTTTTCCCAAAGGCCACTCCGGTTGCGAGTTGAAACCAACCAGTGGCGAAGTTGCCGGAGCCAAGTCTGTATCTCAGAGTTTGAGCTGTTTGCACGCATCGTAATGCATGATCTCGACCGAGCTTCCCTGGTCGATCAAGATGCGCTTGACATCGAATTCCTTGACGCGGAGTGTGACCACTAAGGCATCGTTGTGCGGCGTCTGAATGCGTTCTAAGTCCCTTGTAGAGAAACTGATCATGTCTTTCTCTTCGGTCTTCCCCCTCTTGATTGCAGGCTGGACCGACAAGACTTCCGTCATGTGTTCTGCCTTCTTGATCATACCTAGGAGCTTGCATACACGTGCCGGCTCCACTATGCCGTGGATGACATTAATTACTCCTTGTGGGGGCGCCTCCAGGTCATCCAATCTACATGGGTCAACCGGGGGTTGATGTGCGGCCTTCACACCCCCATTAATGTAAAGGTCCAAGTGTCCGGCTGCGACTAGCTCCTCCAAGTGTTGCTTCAGAGGCAAACAGTCCTCTGTTCAGTGTCTGCGCTCCAGGTGGAATGTGCAGCAGTACCGCGGATTGAAGCCTTTTTGCGCATCGCCTAACTTAGCAGGAAACTGGACGTAATCCTCGTCACGGATTTCACTAAGTATGCGATAGATTAAAATCTTAAAGACCGTGGTGATGCCCTTCCGAGCTTTCAACCTTCTGTTTGCATCAGTCACGTCGTCGTGGGGAAATTCATCTCAGTCATTCCGCTGACCCCTACCCTGGTTTCGACAATTTGAACCTCGGTCAGATTCCTCGGTGTGATCATTTGAACGGTTGGTCTCCTGTCCGACCACATGCACGTTGCCAGCCGTCCTCTTGTCTGTTGCTACCGGAGTTGCCTTTGTGGTAGATGCTGCCGCATTATCTTCTACTCGGATGTGCTCGTTGATGCGCTGCATTAGTTGAGCCATGGATATCGGCTAGTGCATGGTAAGTGAGTCCCACAGTCTATGTCCGATCGGGAGACCGCGCTTATATTTTGTGATTGCCAGGTTGACCGGGCAATCCAAGATCTCATTGAAAGTTTCCTAGTATCTGGAGTTGTATGCCTTGTGTGTGTCGCTCGGCTCCATCTTGACACTAAGAAGGTGGTCTACTTCCTTTGGCATTCTGGTGTTGGTTTTGAAACGTGTCACAAAGGCTTCCGCCAACTGCTGCCACCTTTCGATGCTCCCCTCTGGCTACCTCTCAAACCATTTTAAGCCCAGCTCGCCCAAACTTGACGGGAAGATAAGGCACATAAGAGCGTCATTCCGCCTATGTCCGGCTATGACCTGTCAGAAGTGGCTTACATGCATGTATGGATCGGTCTTTCCGTTGTAGAGTGTGAACTTTGGCTGGTGGAAGCCCACGGGAAGCGGTGTTGTTTCTATCTCCAAGGAGAAAGGAGTGGTGCTCAGCCTCGCCAAATCCGTGTCTGGAGGAGGAGGCACAGCTAGGCGGGGTTGAGGCAATACAGCTTTTTCATTGGCACGACCCCTGTAGGATAACCGCTGGAATGCTGGTACCCTCTGAGTCTCTCGTCAGCTCGCTCCTTCAAGACTTCCCGCAAATCCTCTGAACGAGCGGTGTAGGAGTACCCTGACGTCGTCACCGGACGTGAGGGTTAGTAAGTGCTATCATGCGCGCTGGATTTCTCTATCGGTGCGTCAGAATCTCCAACCTTGCAACTTCTGGTGATTGAGAGAGACGGAGTGTGACGCTGGCTCTGACTGCCTGAACGGCGGGATTGGGTGCACGCCCTTCCCTTTGACATGCCGCTTAAGATCCTCCATCTCTGCCGCCATTCTCCGGATGACGGCTTCTTGGTCCCTTAGCTTGTGTTCCAGACATCTGGTATGCGATTCTCTCCGCTGCCGGTGACCGTCTGGACTCCGAGAATGACCAAAGCTTCTCCCGTGCTTATCCCGCTCATCTCTTGAATGTCTTCCTAGAGAAGGCTCCAGGTCTGCGATCAGAGGAATGATGGGGTGTCCTTCTCTTCGTTTGGCTGACTCCGGGGTAACTCTGTTGATGGCGAACAACAGAATCTCTTCATTGTTCGCCATGGACGACGATCAGATGAGCTGGGAAGACAAGGTTTTGTTTATCAAGTTCCCACAGACGGCGCCAATTGTATAGGGAGCAAATATTTTGGCGAGCCCGTACTCCTTTTTTCCAAGCTCCCTGTTCGTCCGATCGATCTGTGAACACAACGGCGGTGAGCTACCCGGCGGTGTGCGGCCGAAAAACCCCTCTGATGGTCAAGTTAGCACACACTCAGGGATAGAGAGAGAGAGAGGAGAGAGTTGAATGTCTAAGTGTATCTTACCAAATGATCATCTGCCTCAACATGGGGGGCGCAGACACGCTTATATACCTTCTGCGCCCCAAATCTACTCCCATTAGTCTCTCGACACGTGGTGCTGCTATCCCATCTGTCAGCACAAATCCAACAATCACCACCTTACCAAACCGTCAGGATATCTCGGCGGAGCCTAGCAGATCAACAGAACCACTTCGGCTTCTTATGACCGCGCTATGTGGTATATCCGAGTGATCCACCAGCCGAGCCCCAGCACGACTGAGCTTGGTTGCATTCCGGCAGGCCGAGCTCGAGGTAGGTCGAACCTGTTAGCTGTAGGCCTTCCTACCGAGCCGAACGCACGAACCGTGGAATTCGGAATGGCAGGCAGTCATCTCGGCCCAGCAACTTCACGTAGCCCGGTTTCTACACAAATGAGCCCAAGTAGCTCGGTCCAACATGACCCTGTGCCTTAATCAAGCAAAACCTCTCTGGACAAGCCCAAGCTACCGCGGCCCAAACGTGTTCGGCACTCAACTTGCCTGGCCTTTGCCATGGCCCATTTCAACTTCAAGCCATGCTTTATATACAGAATGATGGAAACATTAGGGGCCACGGTATGTCCTTCCACGACTTGAACATGGTAGTTGTGTATTATACTTGCAGCCACCACTTTTAATTGAGTGAAGGCTACTTTCTTTCCCAAGCAAGTCCTCGGTCCCGCATTGAACGACAAGAACTTGTAAGATGGCTCATGTTTGATCGTTCCTCGCTCAGATAACCATCTCTCCGGTTTAAACTCCATGCAATCCTCTCCCCATATGAATTTCATCCTTCCTATTGCATATAGGGAGAACAATATTTTCATATTCGGATCAACACAATGCCCACTTGGAAGTGTATCTGGCTTACGAGGCTCTTTGTGTTGGAATGGAACTGGTGGATATAGCCTTAATGATTCACATAGTGCATTGTGTAGATAAACTAGCTTGCTTACCTCTTCTACGCCGAATAATCTCCATTTGTTAGCTTCTTTTGTTGGTATATTCGATTTGAGTTCTTCTCTGATCTTTTCTTCCACATCTGGGTGAGTTGAAACGAGCCAAAAAAACCACGTGAGAGCTGAGCTTGTCGTGTCTCTCCCTGCAATCATGAAATTTAAAATGGTGTCTCTCAAGAACTTATCATCACTTTCTATCTCTTTTTCATTTAAATACGATGTTAATAAATCGACACCTCCTTCTTCGTCATTCGATTTGATTTCTCTACTGAGTTCATCTCTCTTCATGGAAATATATTTCGCTATGATATGATCTAGAGATTCACGAGCGTTTCTCAATTTTTTCTCATGTCCAATCCCTACCCACCTCTGGAACTTCCAAACTCTCTCGGGGACAATGTGGCGAATAAAGATAGCTTCCTCCGCATCATCCATGGCCTTGGAGAAGGGAACATGAGGGAGGTCGATAGAGAGGCAACTGGGGTCATACCCGGTGACAAGTATGCAAGTAGTGTCAAATGTTAGCCTTTGGAACAAGTCTTGTAAGTCCACCACCAAGCCTTGTTTGGAGACATGTTCAAGAACTTTGATGAGTCCTTTCTCCACCTTATCTTGGGTGGTCTTGGCCAAAAACCGGTGGAACTGGGGGTGACTGAGCTGTAATTGAGCAAGTTTTCTTTGGTTTCTCCATAAATCTGAATCAGAATTGAAAATTCCATCTCCCAAAAAGTCAAAAATCTTGAGGAACTTAGGACCCTTTGGGAAATTTAAGAAGTTGGAACTCATTTTGTAGTGCACTTTAGATGGATCAACAGTTACCAACATATTCATGTTAGCCAAAAAAGGGCCCTTGATTAGAAAAGTACCTCCGGCTTCGCATAGAACTCCGGTGGCCCAGTCGTGGATCTGGTGCACGTGGCAGAGAAGAGTCGGTAGTATCCCAAAAAGAGGCCAGTTCCATGGAAACACAACATCAATAGTGGTAGATAGGAAGAAAAGGAAGAGAAAGCATGTAAATGATAATAGGACTTCATAGTAACCTAGTGACACTATGTCAAAATAGGGCTTTAACAACGGTTTTTTTAACGGCGGTTTTTGTTACCACCGTTAAAGATACTATTAACGGCGGCAACGAAACCGCCGTTAATGTATTTTTAACGACAATTTCGATACCGTCGTTTAAAAAACCGCCACTACAGTACCTTTAACGGCAGTAATGAAACGTTCTTTAAAAAAACTGCTACTAAAGCCCTTTTTTAACGGCGGTAAACCGGTGGAACTGGGGGTGACTGAGCTGTAATTGAGCAAGTTTTCTTTGGTTTCTCCATAAATCTGAATCAGAATTGAAAATTCCATCTCCCAAAAAGTCAAAAATCTTGAGGAACTTAGGACCCTTTGGGAAATTTAAGAAGTTGGAACTCATTTTGTAGTGCACTTTAGATGGATCAACAGTTACCAACATATTCATGTTAGCCAAAAAAGGGCCCTTGATTAGAAAAGTACCTCCGGCTTCGCATAGAACTCCGGTGGCCCAGTCGTGGATCTGGTGCACGTGGCAGAGAAGAGTCGGTAGTATCCCAAAAAGAGGCCAGTTCCATGGAAGCACAACATCAATAGTGGTGGATAGGAAGAAAAGGAAGAGAAAACATGTAAGTGATAATAGGACTTCATAGTAACCTAGTGACACTATGCGAAAATAGGGCATTAATGACGGTTTTTTTAACGGCGATTTTTGTTACCACCGTTAAAGATACTATTAACGGCGGTAACGAAACCGCCGTTAATGTATTTTTAACGACAGTTTCGATACCGTCGTTTAAAAAACCGCTACTACAGTACCTTTAATGGCAGTAATGAAACCTTCTTTAAAAAAACTGCCACTAAAGCCCTCTTTTAACGGCGGTAACGAAACTGCCGCTGAAGCCCTCTCATTACCGCCGTTAATGACGGCGGTTTTTGCCGGCGGAACTTCAGCGAAACTCCGGCGTGTGGTGACCACTTGCGGCCAGAGGTTGAATATGACCATCTACAATAAAGCAAAAGTAATGTTTAAATATTTATTTAGGGAATATATTTCATATAGAGTGGTTGTGGTATAGTGGTTGATGTGCATGGATTAAAGATCACGGGTTCGAGGCCTGAGGAGTGTAAGAAGAGAGAATTATTTTTTAAAAAATTTGAACCTATTTACGGCGGTAAAGAACTGCCGTTTTTGGTCGACTTTTAACAATGGTAATTTACCTTTATACGACGGTTGTACCTTTTCCGACACAAGTATAAACGGCAGTCCTAAATTACTGTCGTTAAAAATTTTAACGACGATTTTACATCTTTTAACAGCGATAAAAAATCGCCGCGAAAACCTAATTTTAACGTAGTGTAAGGCCATTTCGGTTTTTGTTCGAGGTCCTAGTAGAACTATGCCAGTACTATGTGTAAGGGTGGAGATTTATAATGATTTTCCTGCAGGCTGTTTGGTCACGCATCAATCAACTCCCAAGATGGCTTTTAAAGCATAGCAACGTTAAAAACGCATTAAAAGTTGATCAATTCATGTATTCACATCCAAACTGTATACAGGGATGGAACTACCTATAAACCTACCGGAGTCCTGGCCTCCCAGCTTTGCACAAGATGCTTTACCCATATAGATTTAGTTCAACACACCAATTTCTCCTATGGTCGTCTTCTATTTTATAATTTTAATTATTTTCTTTAATAGGTCTTTATAATATAATAATAGTTTAATATATAAAAAAATATTATTATAAGAAATATAATTTCTTTTTTTATGAAAGTTTAGAATATTTAAATTGTTATGTGTAGTAAATGTTACAAGTAGTTAATTTATGGTGTGTATCTCTAAAGTGAAAGTGAAAGTTATGAATTATTGTAGTAACGCTATGAATGGTGTAGTGTAAATCTTACGAATTATTTGTGATGCAAAATGTTATAAATTATTTTAGTGAAAGAAGTTACAATTGTTATCGTTATGCTATAGACATATATTGTGATACAATATGCACTTTTTAAAGAGTACACACTATGATAACTCCCTAACATATTATGTTTTAAAATATATTTTTAATTATATTATTCACTTTATAAATGAAATTAAGTTCATAATTTTTGTATCTCATTAGCCCAATCATTATTTATCTTTACTGCAATATAAAAACTCTCAATCATTAGTGATGCTATAACGTAATATTAATGTTACATCAAATATTTATCCATTTTCAATTAAGAGCATAAAAAATCACAATTATTTATTGTATGAAAATCTATTGTTTTAAATATAACCTCACTTATCTTCCAATGTTTGTCTTTGGCCCCCCTCCGTCCCTGACTGTATACAAAGTGTAACAATTTCCTTAATAGTGGCTCGGTAAGCACATTAACATATGTAATTGAAAAGACTTCTATGCGAGTTGGTATGATATTTCTTTTTCCCAATTAATAAAAAAATGAAATCTAGTATAACTGCCCTGGCTTGTATGTAACTATTTGTATGGACATTTTTTAGACATTAAAAAAAAAAAAAATGGCATTTCTACACTAACACATTTTATATAATTATACAAATATATTTTTATAGTTCCATCTTTATATCCTATAACTAATTGTAGGTAATGTATAATAAAGGGAATTTACGTGTAAGTCCAATAGGTAGACTTATTATTCAATAGCTCTTATGATAATTAGTCATGTTTTTATTTTATTTTTTAAAAAAAAGTTATGAATTATTGTAGTTACGTTATGAACGGTGTAGTGTAAATCTTATAAATTATTTGTGATGCAAAATGTTACAAACTATTTTGGCGAAAGAAGTTGCAATTTGTTATGGTTAATATGCACAGAGTACACAGTACACACCATGATAACTCCCTAACATATTATGTTTTAAAATATATTTTTAATTATATTATTCACTTTATAAATGAAATTAAGTTCACAATTTTTGTATCTCATTAGCCCAATCATTATTTATCGTTACTGCAATATAAAAACTCTCAATCATTAGTGATGCTATAACGTAATATTAATATTACATAAAATATTTATCCATTTTCAATTAAGAGCATAAAAAATCACAATTATTTATTGTATGAAAATCTATTGTTTTAAATATAACCTCACTTATCTTCCAATGTTTGTCTTTGGCCCCCCTCCGTCCCTGACTGTATACAAAGTGTAACAATTTCCTTAATAGTGGCTCGGTAAGCACATTAACATATGTAATTGAAAAGACTTCTATGCGAGTTGGTATGATATTTCTTTTTCCCAATTAATAAAAAAATGAAATCTAGTATAACTGCCCTGGCTTGTATGTAACTATTTGTATGGACATTTTTTAGAAATTAAAAAAAAAAAAAATGGCATTTTTCACCGACACTTCTTTTTTTTTTTTTTTTTTTTATCAGCAAAGAAAATGAACTTTATTGATAAAACAGAAAACTATTACATCAATAAAAGAAAGAGGATGATGAGTGCAAAAAATATCATAATGAACCTAATCAATCCCAACTAGGCTGGCACCAAAAAGATCGTCCAATCATATACTAACACATCATCGCGAGTTGGTGAGAAATCAATCACAAAAAACAACCACACACCCAAAAAACTAACCAAACCTGAAACAGACCAAAAACCCCATAACTATCAAACAACAATAAAATAATGAAGTGAATAGACCAAAACCCACAGTAATTACTCCTTTATCAGTAGTCCATCTTCACCAATAAAACAGACCAAAACATACCAAAATTACTCCTTTTATCAGTAGCCCACGGCAGCAGGAGCCCAGAAGCAAGAGCAGACTTCACCATCAGTTCAGCACAACATATTAGATCAGCACAGCAAGACAGATACCACAACAGTTCAGCACTCCACACTACAGCAGTTCAGGTCCATATTGCCCACACAGATCAACATCAGCCAACTGAAGTCAGCCATACCAAAACATTGAAGGCAGATCACAAACACAGCATATCACAAACCAACATAGCACAATCACATACCAACACAACACAACACAATACAACAGCAGCATGCCGCACACCCTTGTGTAGACCTGAAATACATAGCATTCAAACTCCTACGGTAGCATTCAGACTCCGACACATTTTATATAATGATACAAATATATTTTTATAGTTCCATCTTTATATCCCATAACTAATTGTAGGTAATGTATAATAAAGAGGATTTACGTGCAAGTCCTAATAGGTAGACTTATTATATAATAGCTTCTTTGATAATTAGTTTTGTTTGTATTTTTTTTAAAAAAAGTCACTAATTGTTAATTTTTAGTGACAAATTTAGAAAATCATCAAAAAGTCTTTTCAGCGACAATTCTATTAGGACCAACTTTTAGTGACGAATTGATAGGATTAATATGGATTAAATCTAACTATTAGGATCTCGTGATAATTTATCCTATAATAAAGCACATTACTATCCTTTCCCTTTTCAGTTTTAGAGATAATTGGAAAAAGATCCAAATTAGAAGATAAGATCACGTTCATCATTTGACTTTTAATTTTAATTTTTTGAAAATTATTAACCAATGGAAATCCTATACATAATTTGTCTATTGAAGGATGTAATAATGGCATATTTGTATATTACAATTAAAATGATCAGTGTTAAGTATTTAAATTTTTTTAAAAACAAAAAAAAAAAATCAACCAAACTACATAATATTATACAATAATTCTATCATCAGGTACCAAAAATAAAATTAGAAATTTATCTAGAATTTAAATCCATGCCATTATTCATGGGATGGTCGAACAAAAAAAATAAAAAATAAAAAAAATAAAAGAAATAAATATATACTTTTGATACGAAATTGTGGATAACTTTATGATATTTTTTATGAATGGATATGTCAGATCCCATCCCGGAGATAGTTAGCAAATCTCTCATAAATAGGGTGAAACCTATACACTTGCCTAAGGATAATAATAAGTGATAAATACCAACCACGAGTAAAGAAAATTCAACTTCGTGCCACTACATATATATGAACAATTTAGTGCGCAAAATATTTACTCAAAAACATTTACAAACTAAGGTGTAACTCCCACCTATGTACATATATAATTATACACACTTTTTCTGTGACGACCTAGAATTTTTCCCTCCGCTCGAGCGGAGGATTTGACGCTCGAGCGGACTTTTGGGGTTCTCAGAAATTTTGCAGACGGCCTGAGATTCTGGGAGTTGTGAATCTCCGCTCGAGCGGAAAAGTTGACGCTCGAGCGGACTGCTTTATTGGTCTGTGCGCGCTCGAGCGGTTGAAGCGACGCTCGAGCGTGAGAAGTAAGATTTCCCTTGACATTGTAGTGGTGTATTTGGAATCTTCTTATTTTATTTTGGAGTATTGTTTGAGGTGGTAATATGATGGTGAAGTAAGATAGGACCAAAAACTTTAATTCGAACAATTTGTTTATGTTCAACAGTCACTCTTTTGCCCTTTTCTTTTTCCACACTTTGAATTTGAATCTGAGGTTAGAACCATTGAAAAGCTTATCTCCGGGGCTTCAATTTGGACACAAGAACGGCCTAAAACAGAGCCCGGATGAGAGAGTTACACATGATTAAAGTTTTGGGATCTGTGCTGGGAGCAGGTACGCTCGAGCGGGAATAAGGACGCTCGAGCGCTAACAAAGTTGTTATAATTGGAGAAATTTTAATTTAGGAATAATTTTAAAAAATAATTACAAATAAATAGTAACAAATTTTATAAAGATGAATAATTAAAGATATAAATTTGTAATAATTTTTTTCAACTATCCCTGATCTATAATTTGCGGAAAAAAAGTGTTTTTATTTTCTATCAAACTTTTCTTTTAAAGTCGTGCTAGCTAGCGGCCACTCAAGTAATTTAGCAATAACAATTACACTATTGACTTCTTTCTATATGATTTCAAAGTAAAGACGGGGGACCTGCCTTATACTCTTTCTTTCAAACACGTTTTTGGAAAAGGAAATTTAAAAGTATTTCACTTTTGTTAAAGTTTGCCTAAAAACAGTTTTCAAATTCGGTTTTGCGTCATACACCCAGTGGGGGTCGCGCCCCCAGTGACGTGGCGCGCCCCCACTGGTCGAAAAAAAAAAAAAAAAAAAATTAAATATATACTTTTGATACGAAATTGTGGATAACTTTATGATATTTTTTATGAATGGATATGTCAGATCCCACGCCGGAGATAGTTAGCAAATCTCTCATAAATAGGGTGAAACCTATAGACTTGCCTAAGGATAATAATAAGTGATAAATACCAACCACGAGTAAAGAAAATTCAACTTCGTGCCACTGCATATATATGAACAATTTAGTGCGCAAAATATTTACTCAAAAACATTTACAAACTAAGGTGTAACTCCCACCTATGTACATATATAATTATACACACATTTTCTCTCAAAATAGACTTCTCAACATGAAATCTAGACTTTGACAGTGAACCTATGTATCTCTTGCACACCTTAAACAAAAATACAATAGGAGTGTGAGCTATCAACAAGCTCAGGGAATGTTCTAACTGATAATAATAATTGAAAAGAGAAATAAATAGCTCAATAGCAATTAATATTTACATAAATACATCTCATACATGTTATGTGTCGCCTCCAAGCCACTTATCAAATATAATTAGCCTCAAGGCATCGTCCCCCAGACAATGTAATATAATATCTCATGAAAAATAAAATGTAATGTGGGAAGCATTTTGCGAATGACGCCACGTGGACAAGATAACCTGAGATGTCAGCTAAGGTGCCATGTGGATGAGCCATGTTGCCGAGGTGGTTACGGTATTGCCGAGATATTCTGTGGTAATGCCGGAATCCCGAGGTATCTAGATAAGGGACAAGAGTCTTAGAACAGAAGAGGATCTCAGCCTGGATAAGGATAAGGCTCAATAAGAGTTTATTCCAATCTAGCCGAGAGTCCAAGATAAGTATTGAGCTTGAGTCCATTGAAGTAAGGCTTCTAAAGGATCAAGTCACTACTGATTATAAAAGTAAGGCACCCTCATGGGTCTGGGGTATGTTCTTTCTTGTGAGTTTGAGTACTATTTGCTATCTGTGAGAGATAAAGTTTTACTGACTTGATTGTTAGAGTGCCCTCAGGTGAACGAACCACTACTGAATTCTCATCTTATTGTTACAGGTTGTTGGGCTTAATCTATTCTACCGGTGCTCTCCTACTAAGTTCTCTGTTTTGTGGTCGGAAATCAACACACACATAATGTTTCCAAGACAATACAAAGAATCAACCTGAAACCAAATAAATTGTCCCATCCATTAACAATCATCACATAAATTATCCAACTAGTATTGAGATATGAATTCATACACTCACCTTAGGAGTCAATGCCAAATACCACTCGCAAGATTATTTTCTAGGAGAGCTCGGAGTGCTTGTTATTGTCCTGATACCTAGTTTACAACACATTATTATATTGAGGATTTAATCAGTAAATGTTTGTTATATGACATGGCTGTGGAATTGAAGAAACTCTACTCTCTTTCCATATTCAATGAATCATATGCTAGTTACATCAGTGTATATATACACAAATCCAACTTCTTAACAACTTGTCTAACAAACTCATAACTAACTCACTAACTAATATCTAACAACCTAACAAACAGATATAGGCATGGATGCTGAACTGAAGCTCAAGCTGTGGCATTGGCTTGATTGCTGATGTGGTGGCTCAAGCAACTCAGGCTGCAACATGGGCTGCTGCTCAAACTGGCTTGAGCTGCTTTGCTATGTATTCTTATTAGGCTCCTGCAAATTGATGAAGGGTTGTAACTCCATAAGCTTGGTCTTAAGATACCAAAATCGAGCCATTGATAAAGGTTTGGTAAATATATCAACAAGTTGATCAATTGCAGGTATATATTGCAAGGTGGGTTTCTTGGCAAGAACTTGATCGTGTACAAAATGGCCATCAACTTCGATATGCTTAAACCTGGAGTGAAATACAGGATTGGAGGCCAAAGCAATTGCGGAAATGTTGTCACACCATAAAATAGGAGTAGTAGGAGAGATGATGGACAAATCAGTCAGCAACATGCCAAGCCAAGACAATTCTGCTATGGTATGAGCTAAGGAGTGATACTCAGCCTTGGTGGAAGACAAAAGACAGTTGTTTCTTAGAAGACCAAGAATTGAGATTGGAACCTAAGAACACAGTATCCATAAGTAGATTTTTTTGTTAGAGGTGTCCCCAGCCCAATTAGAATAAGAGAAGGCATGAAGATCAAAAGTGCAATGTGAATAGGAGAGACCACGAGATAAGGTGCACTTGACATACCTAAGTAGTCGTTTGACAGCAGAAAAATGAGCCATTATGGGAGTATGCATGTGCTGACATAACTGATTGACAGTAAAAGAAATATTAGGCCTAGTGATGGTCAAGTACTGTAAAGCCTCAACCACATTGCACTAAAGAGAGGGATTGTCAAATAAATCAGCAGATTGATAGGAAAAACTAGGCTTCACATACATGGGAGAAGAGCAAGGTTTGCAGTTAGCCAACCCAGTTCTCACAAGAATGTCATGAGCATATTTTTGTTGCGAAAGAACATAATCAGTAGGAGTAGACTGTACTGAAATCCCCAAGAAGTAGGAGACATGGCCCAACTCTTTCAGAGAAAAGGTTTCATGCATATGAGTAATAAGAAACTAAATGTGAAGCTCATTATTGCCTGTGAGCAAAATATCATCAACATAGAATAGAAGAATTGTAATAGTACTACTAATCTTTTGGATGAAAATAGATGAATCACATTTGCTATTATGAAA